GTCTCGCACAGACTATATCACGAGTGAGAGTCACGGCGAAAGGACAAACCTCGAAGCTGATTCGAACTAGGTTCGGGAAGATCTTGAACCATAACGTAGCGTCATACGGGACATCGCTACCACAAAGCTCCACAAGGGTACTCTGCACATTGCTCTTGCGCATGCCGCGTTGTAAGCGACTGCGCTCAGCCAATGACAACTTCTCATCGCTAATGTCGAGGACTCTCTGGGGACTGCCCTCCATTACCCGAATGACACGGGTATTGGAGCCACCCAGAGCCGTGTCAAATTCAGTTATGAGGCGTAGCACGGTGACAGCGTACGAGCGGACACGACGTGAAGGCGAGCATAGGAAGAAGACGCCATGAGATTCAACTTCGTCAACATGCGCCCATACTGAAGATAGATCAAGCAGAGCCGCGCGATTACCAGAACCGTCGTCAGGCGTGTCCAGTGCTGCTTTACGTGTCTTGCGCTTGATCTCTTCAATCCATATCTCTAGTAGCTCCACGTAGAGCTTCAGGGTGCTCTCGATGTGCCCAGCCCCCAGCATGCCACCATCGGACATGGTGGCATAACGGTCGTCGAAATTGAAGATGAAGCGTGCAAAGCCAATCGTGACTTGCTGTGCATGTGACTGTCGGGCTATTGATTTGAGTGACTGAGCGGATGATACGGCGATGTTCCCCTGTACGTGGGCTGTCCCGGTGCACAACAGGTTTACAAGTGAATTGAATGGTATATGTGGAGACAGACAGCGGGGTAAAGCCTGAACAGCGACATGTAAGAGGTCATAGAACCCTTGCCGCGGATCCGTAGTAGTCATGTAATCTTCGCGAGGAGCGAAACTGAAGGCTGCCGCCATAGGCGTCTTTGGTGTTTGCGATGAGAATTTCTCATCGAGCACGGCCTGGCCTCCAAATGCGTTGTCGCAAATAATGGTGATCTCCCCCAAGATCTTACAGAAGCGAATATAGTACTCCTTGGCCACTTCGGCGAAACCGGCGAAGTTCACAGGACGCGACAGACGGTCTTCCTTGAGAAGACTTGACTTTATGGGCAGAGGTTGTAGAGGCCGCGGACTAGAAGGAAGAGCAGGGAGCTCGTTCGATACCGCGTTTGGGTCGTAGTCGAACGTGAGTGGGAAAGGCGGCTGCTCCGTGTTCTCGAGATCAGCCATAATGGCCAGAAACGAGCGGATACCGATGACCATACGGTCAGGCTCTAGGTTTTCAACGCGTAACTCTCGGCCTGACAGGAACATGTCGGAGTTGAGCAGGGGAAAGATGATGGTCTTGAAGCAAAGGTCTTGGTACTTGTAGCCGATAATGCGCGTCAGTTGTATCAAGGGTTCGGCGATGGCTGGCTCAGTTGAAAGGTACGATCGCCTTCCTGGCTGGAACACCATGCGTATAATTTCTTCTAATCGGCGAACTGCGACGTTTGGTGCTTCCGTTCCCCGCCTGTATATGTAAGTCCACACTAGCCGACAAATGCCTCGAAGGGCAATGGCTCTGGTTGCGCGCTCTTTGAGTCGTGGCTGAGTAGACAAGGCGAGCGCAAGCCATTGAGAGAGAAAGGTTTCGGTCGGAGAAGCACATAGGATGGCGGCCATAAGTGGGAAGGCTTCGTGCCAGTGTTTCGGCTTGCCCAGCAGTATGGCAGCGCGCTGCTTCATCATATCGATCACAGTCTTCCATCTAGGTGCGTTGAGTTCAACGGTCGCTTTAGAGGTGATACGTAGTAAGAGTTCCCTTAGGACTTGGCAATACGCATATTTAACCGGCTGACCGTGGGCACTGGTGAAAAGCTTTGCCATGGAAAGCATAAAATCACATGTCCGGTCCCAGGTGTCTTCAGGATATGACTTCACTTGCAGGTGCCTCAGAGCGCGAATGAGCAAGGCGCCTTTGGCCTCGTGGTCTCGGTTGTACTGATTCTTGATAGCCAAGTGACCATCGACGATCTTCAGGTCGGTGATGAACTTGTCTTGCACTTGCTCAAAAATGAGGCCACTCAGCACACCGAGCAGTTGGCTGTAAATAGTCCAATTGGCGAGGTTGAGGGGGGATATGTCCACGAGGTCAGGGTCCACCGTGCTGAGCTGGCCATAGAAAAGACCGAGAAGACGGTCGGCCATTTCAAAAGTCAGGTTATGGAGGTCGGTTTGGGTCATGATCTCGATCAAGACGCGGCAAAGGATGTAGGTTGAGACGGTCGAGCGCTGTTCGGCTTGCGTGACAGTCTGCTGCAGAGCGATGATGTGGTCGGGGCCAGATGCTACAGAGGCTGCGGATTGATTATCCAGTTGTTGGACCGGTTCAGTGTTACGTCGAGATAGCGCAGGATGGAGTTGAAGTCCTGGGTTGGCTTGTCGGGCAGTAAGTAACTGAGTGCGCTGTTTGGATGCCTCCTCGCTCTTGGCTTTCCGCCATAGCATGATGGTATCTATGAGCGGCTTTGGCTTGTGGCGCGCAATATGCCCCAGGGCAGCTATGAGCTGGTCAAAGGTGGGGTCTACACCAGGTCCACAGACACCCTCTACCCGGGCCTCCGGCTGGCCTCTCTCCGTCATGCACTGGTTGATCTTCTGCTCGGCCTGACTGATGAAAGAGTTAAAAAGGTGGTGCAGGGCATATTCGCCAACCGTCTTGAGTTCGTGGGGATGCGGGGGGTGGCGCGACTGGGAGCGATGATGATTGTGGCCCTTTCGCGCGGATCTGGCACTCGGCGCCCGCTCAGGTTTGCGATGGGGAATGCTTCCGTCGCTCGATGCCGCCTGAGGTCCCACGCCGGCATAGACATTCCCCGTGCCTGCGCCTGGCTGCATGCCGTTGGCGGCGAAGGCGTCGGCTATTGACTCCTGCGACATGAGGGCTCCATCGAGGGTTGCCCCGGCGGCGGCGGCGATGATCTGGGGGCTCAGCGGGCTCGTGGCGGGGGAGTTGACGAAGCTGGTGTTGCGCGAGTGCTGGATGCCGTGAACGATGGAAGTGTTGCGGTTGTGGGCATACGAGCCCGAGGGTTTGCGTTCGAGCGTCGTCAGAGTGCGGTCCGGGCTCGAATTGCTGCTGGCAGCCTTGACGGCCGGTGTCTGCGAGCGCGAGGCAATGCTGCGTGACGAGGCAGTCAGTGCACGCCCGCGGGTCTGGCTGGGCTCACGCGAGGCCGACGAGGGGTGCTCTATATGGTGCGACACATTCCCAGCAGCTGGTCGAGCTTGCAGGAGAGGGAAAGCAGCTGCATTGGGCAAGGCACAGGGGTCAGCACAGTTCTGAGGCAGCGCGGAGAGGCGTCGACGTCAAGATAAGGCTTTGTCGCCATGGCACCTGAAGAGCCGGCACTGTCAAACTCCAGACCGCGTGGGGAGTGCGTTTCACGGTGCCCTCGCACGGCTGGATGACGACGGGCCTTGGACTAGGAAAACTTTACTCACACATGCCGCAGGCTTCGCGTGCAGCATCTTCCGTGGCGCGCGGAGAATACTGCAGCCCGTCTTACAAGGCTCAAGACGTAGAGGGCGCCGTTGAGAGGGTCGCGACGGCTTTCATGGATGTCTCGAGGTGGATGAAATGGGTAAGTAGAGGTGCCCTGTGCCTGACTAGCCGCCGTCTAGCCTGGTTAGAGGCAACGATCATCCATGGCGCCCGGCATCAACACGGCTCTGGAGATCGATCCGAGCCTGGAGATTCTTCAGTCCCACGTGGTCTGCCTTTCTGGGAGCTGGGCATGGCAAGTTATCGATAGACCGCGAGAGCCTCACACGTATGTGAGGGGTTCCTCCTGTGTTAGTATGCCTAGTATCTGAGAGGTACCTGATAACGTGCACTTCCTTGGCTCTATCCTAAATAGTGCTCAGCGGCCTTGATCAGAGGTAAGAGGATTGGTAAGATGCCGTACGCGATGCTTCTTATCTGTAATTCATCGTTCACCATGAACATGTTTGCTCGTGCCTTTGACTGATATGCTGACTCATCGTGATACGCGTGCAATAGGGCTGGAGATGTATGCGATTGTAGAAGTGGGAGTTGCAACATCTTAAACGCGCATCGATGACAAGACTTGGATGTCCGCATCGGGATAGGCGTCTCTGTACCTCAGTTGCTACCTAGGTGCTGCCTACCAGCACTTGCTCTGGCTGCGCATACATGCACTTCCAAGCTTCGCCTAGTCAACGGCTTCGGTGCGTGAAGCATCCACAACACGACACCAGGAACATCCAAGGAGATTGTTAATAGCATTTGCTAGTTGGCAGCACTGGGCAAGACGCCTCGTCAGCTTTGCGCAATCATGCGCGAAAACTCTCCTTTAGAGCGAACTGTGAATCTATTGTCAGGACGGGAAACCTTCCCGCCCTAGAGCTCGCCATCACATGCTTACTGTCTCTATCATCGCCTAGCCTTGTGCGACTGTCGCGTGCATGTGCATGTTGCATCTTTCTTACCGCCGGCTTGACGCTGCTCCTCTGTACATTCGATGCCTCCATCTGCCGTGATTCGTACGAGGTCGTCGTATGTGTGGCCGCAGTATACCCCACAAAGGTACCGAAGTGCTGGCGGGGTTCTTGGTAGCCATGGCGGAAAGGCCGCGAGGGTCGGGAAAGTCAGGGTCTCACCTGAGGCCCGCCGTTGTTTCTGAGCAGCCCCAGCGGAATGGCTGCGGAACGCTTCGGCTTCCGATGGGCGTCTGCCAGTCAGTGACGGCACCACTTTTGGCCACTTTACCCGTGTCAAGAAAGCGGTCAGAAATATGCAGAGTCTAAAGGCGAGATTATCGTTTGCTGTGCTGTCTCAACAGCTTCCTTGCGGCTGCGTGGCCAGATCTTGATAAGATTGAGTTGAGACGCACGGCCACTCGCCATTCCGACGCTCCGCTGCGAAGCCGCATACAAATATTACCGTGTCGTTTCCAATCCTTTTCCGGACGGCAACTTACTACTGTGTCCATGTCAGCCAGCCCCTCACTCTTCAGCCGACTCTGCTAACACCCCTCTCAGCACCATGGCACAACTCGACACCTTGGACCTTATCGTGCTGGCCGCCCTCCTGGTCGGCACAGTAGCCTACTTCACCAAAGGCACCTACTGGGGCGTCTATGGAGACCCCTACGGCAGCTCCATGGCCACGGCCAATGGCGCTGCAAAGGCTGGCAAGTCGCGCAACATAATAGAGAAGATGGACGAGACAGACAAGAACTGCGTCGTCTTCTACGGAAGCCAGACGGGCACGGCAGAGGACTATGCCTCCCGTATATCCAAGGAGGGCCATTCGCGATTCGGCCTCAAGACCATGGTGGCAGATCTGGAGGAGTACGATTTCGAAAACCTCGACACCTTCCCCGAAGACAAGCTCGCCGTATTCGTACTGGCCACCTACGGCGAGGGCGAGCCCACCGATAACGCCGTCGAGTTCTACGAGTTTCTCGGCTCTGAAGATGTCAGCTTCTCAGAGGGCGGCAGCATCGACGACAAGCCTCTCAACAAGCTCAACTACGTCGCATTCGGTCTCGGAAACAATACATACGAACACTACAACTCCATGGTCCGCAACGTCGACAAGTACTTGACCAGGCTCGGTGCCACCAGACTGGGTGCTGCTGGCGAGGGCGACGATGGCGCTGGCACCATGGAAGAGGACTTCCTTGCCTGGAAGGAGCCCATGTGGGCTGCTGTTGCCGAGAAGATGGGCCTGGAGGAGCGTGAAGCCATGTACGAGCCCGTCTTCGAAGTCAATGAGAAGCCAGAGCTATCCCCCGAAGACGACACTGTTTACCTCGGCGAGCCCAACAAGAACCACCTTGAGGGTAACCAAAAGGGTCCCTACAACGCCAACAATCCCTTCATCGCCCCCATCGTCGAATCCGCCGAACTCTTCAACTCCCCCAACCGAAATTGCCTACATATGGAAATCAGCATCGCTGGATCCAATCTGTCATATACCACCGGTGATCACATTGCCATCTGGCCCAACAACGCCGGCAGGGAAGTCGATAGGTTGTTCAAGGTTCTCGGCAAGGAAGACAAGCGCCACACGGTTGTTTCGGTCAGAGGTCTCGACCCCACCGCCAAAGTTCCATTCCCGTCGCCAACTACTTACGATGCCGCTGTGCGATTTCACATTGAGATCAATGCCGCCGTGTCGCGTCAACTTGTCTCTGTCATTGCACAGTTTGCGCCAGACGACGATATCAAGGCTGAGATCGTGAAACTCGGTAGCGACAAGGACTACTTCAAGGAGCAAGTTACCGACCGCAACCTCAACCTGGGCCAGCTTCTCGAGATCACCGGAAAGGGCGCGACATGGGACAAGATCCCATTCTCATTCCTGTTCGAAACCATGGTCAAGATCCAACCTCGTTATTACTCCATCTCCTCCTCGTCCCTAGTCCAGAAAGACAAGATCTCCATCACTGCTATTGTCGAATCTATCGAGAAGCCCGGCGCACCATACGCTTTGAAGGGCGTGACTACCAACTACCTCTTGGCCTTGAAGCAGAAGCAACACGGCGACCCCAACCCGGATCCTCACGGCCTGAACTACACTATCACCGGCCCTCGCAACAAGTACGATGGTGTTCACGTCCCCGTCCACGTCCGCCACTCCAACTTCAAGCTCCCTTCGGACCCTTCCAAGCCCATCATCATGGTCGGACCCGGTACTGGTGTCGCACCCTTCCGTGGTTTCGTTCAAGAAAGAGCTGCACAAGCAAAGGCTGGTCAAGATGTCGGAAAGACTATTTTATTCTTCGGATGCCGAAAGCAATCAGAGGATTTCATGTATGCCAATGAGTGGAAGGTAAGCGTCAAGATGCCATATTAATCACTTATTCCGTGCTAACACAACCTGCAGCAATACCAGGCAGACATGGGCGACAAGTTCGAGATGCACACTGCTTTCTCGCGAGATGGTCCTAAGAAGGTCTATGTACAGAACAAGCTTGAAGAGGCCGGCGAAGAAGTCAACAAGCTGCTCGAGCAAAAGGCCTACTTCTACGTCTGCGGTGATGCCGCGCATATGGCCCGCGAGGTAAACACGCTTCTCGGCAAAATCATCTCCAAGTACAGGAATGTGCCGGAGACAAAAGGTGAGGAGATTGTCAAGGCCATGAGGGCGTCGAATCAGTATCAAGAAGACGTCTGGTCATGATGTGGCGAGGATTGGGGAAATTATTTCAGAAAGAGCTTTTTGAGCATGCATTTTCACGGTAGAACGGTGTGAGCGATGGCGTTTGATCTGACGAAAACATTTCGCATTGGAATATATTGGCTCTGGATCTGAAGCCTGGATGGATATGTACAGTTATGTGATCACTCACCATTTTCCATAGCCTGCGGTGTAGACCAGCTCATTTGATCAATCATAAGCATCGAACTGTTCTGCTTTACCTCTCACGCAGCCGACTGTGAAATGTATCAGAAAGATGTTGAACGACGTGCGCCTAATGCTGTGGTGTGCTGCTGTGGTAGGCAAAACGTGCGCTAGTCCACAGAGGCAGGGTCCGGCTATGATTGGTTGATGCAGGTGAGCCCGCGGTGCCTGCCGCAGGGATGGCTCCCATAAACCTCGTCTATAAGCATCAACCCTCGCATGCATACAGACTGCTTCAAAATAGTTTCGCCATCTGCCGTTCCCGCCCATCAACTGCGCCGCGATAATCGACGAAGGGTCTTCACCATCACAAGCTCGAGTTGCGGCCCCCAATGTCTAGGACGCCTACTCGGATCATTGCGTGGCAAGCCTTCATTGCTCAGAGATGCAGGCATGCCTCGTTATAATAGACACTGTCGTCATGCGTATGATAAAGGTTTGCACAGCAGTTCCGGCTAAGTATTGTCTTCTGGATTTACCTAGTCGCGCGTCGCATGCTGAAAACCTTCATGGCAGCATGACCACAGCCAGTCACTTACAGCTACAACCTCAGCATGCGGGGCATCCGCTCGAACCCTTGAGAAAAACGCAGTGTTGCGACACGCAGTAGATCCTGGGAATCTTATATGAAGCTGCGTTCTTCCTCATCTGCTCTTCTTGTCACCCCGCGGATGCTTGTAAGGAAAGCCGATCCGTCCCGTTTCTTCCTCTCTGCGATGACGGTAGCGAGAAGATCCGGAATCCAGGTCCGAGGTTGAGCTGGGTAACGTTGGAAGAATCGCAACGAAGCATCTGTCAGGCCGCTCAGTACAAAGTGACAGAATTTGGAGAGAGGTGCAGCTCTGGAGGAGAGAGGTGCATATTTGCCCGGCGTACGACATGCACGACTCCTGAAATGACCTTACAGGCAGGCACGCTGAGCGGGATCGGCCAGCCATTGCATGGCAGGACGCCACCGAACATGGACCCTGGGTGCATCATCCACCTGGTAATTCTAGGCACTGGCAGATGTTCTCTTACCGTGACGGCACTGCCACGAGACCAACAACAGCCGCCTCAAGAGCCGGACAACCGATCGGATAGCTGCTTCGCAACAAATGCGACACGGTAATCGGTGCGCTTGCGCCTACGCACCACGCGAGGAAGCGGGAAACCCTCCATTCGTTAACTTCGTATTACCCATACGCCATTCGGTCCTGTACGTAGCACCGGAGGAGCGGAGTCCAAACACGATGCTTGCTGGAATTGTCTCTCTCACTAGACTTGAAATCACCGGCTGGCTCAGTTTCTATGTGTACCTCACTTTTGAATTTGAGTATCTTCAGAGAGACGCCTCGCACACAAATTGCTTTCAATGCACTTTTGCTCGTAAGAGAGTGACGTCGCTCATATTACTCGAAAGGTTGGTCAGGCCACAGGCTTCGGACTTGCCCCTTGCGTCTGTATTACCGCTGCAGATGGTCAAATATCGTTCACCCCGGTGATCTCGCCAAAAAAGGTCAGTATCCACCGGTTGAGATACCTAAGACATCTCGCATGAAGGCACAGTCCCAACGGTAGTGCGTCGAGCTTCGCGCGTCCATCTCAAAACCGTGATCTACAGAGTTACGACCGACAATGGCTGCACTGCGCCGGCTCGTCGCGCAGGTTGCAGGTGTGTAACAGCACGCCGCTTCGCCAGGTCACGAAAGGTCTTTTATGGCATGGCGGAAGTCGGGCTGTAAAGCGTTGTAAGAGTATTCCCCGGTCTGTGTAGCCCTACTAATCGCAAAGCAGACCAGGCAGATTCAATCAAGACCTGCACATGTCTCAAGTTGGGTCGTTGCGTGTACCCGCACGCCAGTTGAAGTATCGAAGTGAGGAAACGACAGGTCGAGTCCCAGTGACAGAAGCATGCGCGCCAGAATCATGGCAACTGCCCCGGTTGGAACGTTGACGTAGCAACAGACAATGACGTTTGTCGTCCAACATCATTCCAAGAGACTGCTCAGCCTTGCTGTAAGGGCGATATAACTGCATTGGCCGTTGTCACGGTGAGAAGCTGGCTGCAGTAGTGGGAGCTAGACTCCACACGAACGCCTCGTCATTTGTATGCTACACCCACTGCTCCAAGAGAGGTATGGCTGCATCTTGAGGAGGCGCGACGAGTGCACCACTGATGCAGCGCATTATGCTTGCAGCCTTCGCCATACCGTACTCTCAGTGCATCCATTCAGCATGTGCGTCCTTGCTTGCAATCGATATATAAGTGCAGTGCTCTTCCCATCACGGCGACGGGGACAAACCAAAGCCCTGTAGCTTCGCCCGCAAGCCTGATCTGACATCACTACTCTAACAGCTTTTTCATCATATTACTAGGCTACTTCCAGGTAAAGAAGCGACGGTATCTAAAGTGTAAGTGTTCGGGCGGCGCTGTGTGTTGTACTGCGTGTGTACCTCCTCGAAGCGGAGTCATTGGGAAGGTGAGCCTCTCTGTTCGCCGTCATTATTCTTCTTCGCGACTTCCCTCTGTCAGATTGGGACTGCCTTTCTCACGTCACTTATGGGTTTCCACCAACTTCCCATCACGAGTGCTCTTTCCCCAATCTGCTACGCCCAGACGCCATCTTCGGGTACAACAGCTTGCCTCATTCAACCATTCCTCCTCTTCTCTTCTTCACTCTTCTTCACTTTTCTCACCAATACGCATCAGTGGCCACATTCTTTGTAGCTTTTCCCAGGTCAGTCATCCGTCCCGACACCATCCATCACTCTTTTTGTAGCACACCGATACTGATGCCTCGGCAGCTTTGGAGTCACTACCAGTCCCGCACATTGCGAAAGTTTGATATCTGCGACCCAGTAAGTCCCTTTCATCATCCCATCTTTTTCTCTCCACCACCCGCCCGGATACCGCCGCATCCAATGGGCTCCTCCCCCGCATTTGCTTGCGAGGTCTGCTTTTCTCATACTCATCGATCACCGAGCAAATTTACTAGGCCGTAACCCAGCCTCCCCTAACGACAAAAGCTAATCTTCTGAGCAGAGCAACGTTCTTCTCTGCATCTCAGTCTGTCGTCGCGTCCGTTGTTGAGACCCTTCGCCGCAACCCTTTCCAGGCTCGTGCCTTTCGGTCTGCGTACTCTTGCTCGCGACCTCAAGCTTCGGTCCCGGATACCTTACCAATCTTTTCACTCGTCTTTCGATCAGTGTCACTTTGAAGCTCACTGCAATGGCTACCAACGGTCGTCAGCAAAACTACGCGGCCCCCAACGCGGGCTACAAGGGACAACACATGCTCAACAACTACAACCAGCACGGCCAAGGTCATGGGTCCGCCCAATACCTCCCCCGAGGTCTGCCCATGTCCCCCCACGTTGATAACGGTATGCAAGGTCTGACGGGCAATATGGCAGCTCTCAACATGCACGCGTCCTATGGTTCGTCCACTACCTCCAAGTCTGCTGGCTCTGCTCTGTCAGGTGGCTCATCCGACTACGGCAACATCCCTCTCTCCAATGGTCAAGGACTTTGGGTTCCCAACCAGCAAGTCCTTGGATCTATGTACCAGATGATGCCTGGTGCCCAGCAACAGACTGCCATGGCGGCTTCCCCCAACATGTACAACCACACTGGTGCATACGTCCAGCAGGCGGCTTACCAATACGGTCAAGCTGTCATCGACAACAACGCAATGCCACCAGCATGGGCTGCTCGCATGTCCTCTTCCGAGATGCCATCTCTAATGACGCCACGCCGGGACTCAATCTCCTCCAACGAGAACGACAATCCAGGCACGCCTTACGGCAGTGGTGGTATGTACCATCGTTACAGCAACAACACCGCCATCATGGACCGTTCACCAAACGCCCTCTACTCCAGCAGTGCTACTCCTTCTCCTTCCCAGATGGCCCATCCCTACCAGGTCATGGCGCCCATTCCGAAGCAGCAGACCATGCCCACGTTGCCTCCCAATCTACTGGCGTTAGTGCACCAGGAGCCCCCCATTCCCCGGGCTATTCCCGCTCCTAGCTCCCCGCACAAGCCACTCGACCGTAGCCTGGAGAACAAGACTGGCGAGACCAACGTTTACATTAGAGGTCTGCTTCCCGAGACCACCGATGAGATGCTTCACCTGTGGGGCAAGCGTTTTGGAGACATCCAGAGTTCAAAGTCCATCATCGACCTGAAGACCAACCTGTGCAAGGGGTAAGCGCTTCACTACCCATCACAACGCCTCATTTACTAATCATACTTCGCAGTTTCGGCTTCATCAAGTACCACAACTTCGAAGACGCTGAAGACTGCATCCGTGGCTTCCACTACCTCGGATATGAGGTCAGCTTTGCTCGGGTACGTTGTAGCCACTCTAACGCACGATGGCCTCTACTGACACTCACTAGGAATCCTTCTACTCCAAGCTCAAGAAGTTCGCCGATGAGTGCAACACTAATCTTTACGTATCCAACATTCCAAAGAACATGAACGAGCATGTATGTTGCTTCGCCCTAATCCTGATGACAAGTCACTTACGACATACAGGAACTCGCCTCCATCTTCGTACCTCACAAGGTCTGCTCAAGCAGGATCCTTCGTGACTCCTCTGGTACTGGTCGGGGTGTCGGTTTCGCTCGGTAAGTCATCGTGATATTGCCAGTTTGATCATTGCTGATCATCTCTAGCTTCGAATCCCGCGATATCTGCGACGAGGTCATCAAGGAGTTCAACAACACTCCTGTATCCAAGCCCGGCGGCGAAGAGCATCTCATCCAGATCCGCTTTTCCGACACTCATGAGCA